CTTTGACATCTACAGCCCTTTGAAGCTCTGGCACAGTGAGAACAGGGAATAGCATCGTGCCTGGCCCAGGCCAGAGCTGAGGCAGGGCTGTTGTGAACACCCCATGTGTGGAGACACGAGGCTTGGCTCCATGTTTTCAGAAGGCTGGTTTATTATATTATGATATATATTATATTAAAATACTACATTAAATCTGTACTAAAAGAATAGATAGAAAAGATTGATCAGAAGGCTTGAAAGAAAAAGAATATAATGCCCAACAAAATCTTTGAGAGTCTCAGAGTCCGATGAAGCTGCATCTGTGATTGGCCATTAATTAGAAACAACAACCTGCCCCAATCCCCGCTTCACCTGTTGCATTCACAGCAGCACACAGTTGTTGTTTGCATTTCTTTCCTGAGGCTCCTCAGCTCCTCAGGAGGGAAAAACCCTGGTAAAGGATTTTTCATAAAATATCACGGCTCTGGAGGGAGCAGAGCCCCAGCAGGTGATTTCTGTGTGCAGATTGAGACGACGGAGCTGTCGGCGAGCCGGATCCAGAGCAGCATGCGGCGGCTGGCGGAGCAGCTGGGCCAGAGCAGGACGCAGCTCCAGGGCGACGTGCGGCGCGCGCGGCAGCTCCTGCAGCGCCTGCGCGCCTTCCTGGCAGGTACCAGGCCAGGGCAGGGCTGGGCAGGGCTGCAGCCTGCCTCCTGCATGGCACAGCTGCTCCGTGCAGTGCGCAGGCATCACTGGGCTTGGAACAGGCCTCCAAGGCTGCGCCCCATCCCCAGCCCGGAGCAGGGAGTGCCACGTCCGGGTGGTCCCTGGGCGCTCCAGGGATGGGGGTTTGCAGCCAGCAGTGACCTGAAGCACAGAGGTTTTCTGGCCACGCTCACTGATGCAGACAGACAGACAGATGACCCTTCTCTGGAGCAGGCTGTTAATCAGATGAGGATTCCTTGTTGTCCTACAAGCTGATGGGATGACTTATTGTTCACGGACAGATTGTAATAACATAATGAGCCTCCTGAGCATTAGCTGAATAAGAAAATCAGGTCATTTGGTGCTGCCTGGTGTTAATGATGAGTGAAGATATTTCTGAGCTAATCACAGGGCTAATGTCCCTTGGGCTCTGCCTGCTTCTGATTTATTTTTATTTGTGAAATGAAAAAAGGCTTGTCTTGAAACACACCCTCATCTGCTGAGTGAGGGCTGCCTGACTGCTCTGGGCTCAGCCATGGTGTTAGCATTGCCAAATTCAAGGTATCATTTCAGCTGTTTCCTGAGGGTTTTGCTGGTGTGAATGAGCAGTGCGTGGAATTCAAGGAGATGATTTCAGAAGGGATCCTGGCAGCTGTCTGGGATGAGGAGATGTGTGTGAGACGTGCATGGGTGGCTGCCCTCCTCCTCCCTTGCGTTTGCACTCCCACCTTCCCTGACGCCGTCTGTCTGCTGCCTCTGCAGACAAGGACACGGATCCTGCCTCCATCCAGGAGATCAGTGAGTCAGTTCTCTCCCTGCGGCTCCCCACGGACGCTGCTGCAGTCCGGAGGAGAATGACCGAGATCCAAAAGCTGGCGACGGAGCTGCAGTGCCCCGAGGACATCCTTGCCCAGACGGCCGAGGACGTCGCCAGGGCCAAGAGGCTGCAGCAGGAGGCAGAGCAGGCCAGGTGGGTGGGGGTTCAAGGCCATCGCCAGCTGAAGGTCCCTCGGCTGGGCTGGAACTGGTGCTTTTCAGCTGGGCTCAAATCTTGCTCTGCCCGAGCTGTCCTGACTTGCACAATCTGAAGTTTTAGGCCGGGATCTTCTGTGTCCATCCAGTGCCTAAAAGAATGAGTGTGCAATCTCCAGACACCTCCCAGGGGCCCCAGTGCGAATAAATCTCCCCAGAATAGATCCTGTTATAGATTTCAGGACAAGAAGGGCTTTATGGAAAGCAGAGGAGGCTTTTCTCTTATCTTGAGTGCCTGTGCTGGGAGATGACTGCGTTGCCCTGGTATTAGCTGATATTGGTGACCTACATCCTAATTGCACAAGAGAGCATGGGGACAGTTAATGGGCTATTTGTTTTCTGGGTGAAAGTTGGGACGATTATTCCACAGCCCCTTAAAAAGTAATTACAGGGTGTCCTTGCCAATTTGGAGCATCTGCTTTGTCACAAGTTGACTTGCAGCAATACCCCAGCGAGAAGGTCAGCAGGATAAAACTGTAAACTCCTTGGCAGTGTCTGACACCTGCTTAACCTGCTGGAAGTGATGAGACAGGGGAGCCTGGCTTTCTCCAGGGCTCTGTCACCCGGCCCGAGCAGTCCCACTGTGAGCAGAAAACTGTTCATTGGAGCTGCTTTCCCTTTGACACCTTGTCATGCCCCATAAAATTAACGTTTCTGACTAGTTTGAAGGAAGGTGTTTATCCCCCCTTCTTAGTTGTCTCCTCTGCTTGAGGCTGTGAAGCAGAACTGATGTTCCTCTCACAAGGAAACCTGCTGGAGTCCAGATGTGTGGGTTTTGGGGGTGGGACATCCCGACCTTCCCAGCAGCAATCCTCTCCTACTTCCCAAGCTCCCTGATTTTACCTCTGTGACCTCGACACCCAGTCTTTGCCCTCATCACACTCGTCCCTGGCTGCTTCCCACCTTTCCCCAGGAACCGGGCAAACGCCGTGGAGGGCAGCGTGGAGGAGGTGCTGGGGAGCCTGCAGCGAGCCAACACGGTGCTGCTGGAGGCCCAGGGGGCCCTCAGGGGCTCGGGCTCCTCGCTGCGCTTCATCCAGGAGCGCGTGGACGAGGTGAGGGACACCCGTCAGAAACGACCCCGAGTGCCTGTCCCCGCTCCTTCAGCTGGCACTGGGAGGGCTGTGGATGTGACTCCCCTCCTGATGGGGCTCTTCTGCCCGCAGATCGAGGCTGTCCTCGGGCCAGCTGAGAAGAACCTGGTGGCCATGGGGGCCGGGCTGGCCGGGCTGGCCGGGCGGCTCTCGCAGCTGCAGCACAGCACAGAGCAGAACCGCCTGCGGGCCGGGGACACGCGGGACACGGCGGGGACAGCGGCACAGCAGGCCAGCGGGGCCCAGCAGGTACCAGACCACAGCAGGGCCCAGCACGTCCCAGATCACAGCAGGGCCCAGCAGGTACTGGCTCACAGCAGGGCCCAAAAGGACCCAGCTCACAGCAATGCCCAGCAGGTACCAGCTCATAGCAATGCCCAACAGGTACCAGCTCACAGCAGCTCACAGCAGGGCCCAGCAGGTACCAGCAGGTACCAGATCACAGCACTGCCCAGCAGGTACCAGCTCAGGGTGTGCCCGCTGCCAGCACAGCAGGGCCCCGCTGTGCCCTGGGCAAGGCCAGGACACCTTCCTGTGCAGTCATGGCTGCTGAGCTGTCACACCACAGCATCCTCCCACTGCTGAACCTCTCCAGAGCCATTCCCAACCCTAAGGCCCTTTGCTGGGAGCTCATTTCTGTCTGTCCTGCCTGAGGCAGGGCAGCTCGTGGAGCTGTCTGTCGGTCTGTGGCTGCACCACAAGCCGGCACACATTTGGTACCAAAGCTCTGGTGCAGTATCCATTTAATACCCAAACAGCATCCAGCACTGGAAACGCCCCTCTGCTGGGTGTTAGCTGCAGAGTTTTCTTGCCTTTCCCCAGGCTCTCGCCCAGGTGAAGGAGCTGTACTCGGAGCTGCAGAGCAGGGTGGGGCAGGGCCCGGCCCTGGGCGAGCAGGGCAGGAGGGTGCAGAGCATCAGCCAGGAGGCACAGGCGCTCTTCCAGGAGACCGTGGGCATCATGCTCAGGATGGAAAGTAAGGCTCTCACAACCTCTCAGTGTCATCGTGCCCTGGGGAAGAGCTTGGGCTGCACTTTGGGCAGTGAGAGGGTGGGGTCTGGGCTGGAGCTGGTGGTGCTGTGGCAGGAAATTGAGAGTTTTCAAATGTGCCACCATGAAGGGAAGCCCTGCCTGCAGTGCCACTGTGCTCCTGTTTTCCTCCACACACTCATTTCCATTTTTTGGCATTCAGAGCTCACGGGAGTGGTGTTTGGGGGTTGTTCAGAGGGTGGGGAGCAGAGGGAGTGCAGGGTGTTGGTTTTCTTGCCCTGTCAGAGCTGTGCAGGAGTGAGGTGGAGGCTCAGCCCAACCCCACCATGTAACCCTCCCCTTCCCTGCCCTCTCTCCTCAGCTCTAGAGTCGGAAATTCAGGAAGGCAACAAGGCTCTGGTGTCCAGGATGTCACAGCTGTCGGGGCTGGAGGAGAAGGTGGGAAAGATCCGGGACAACATCAAGAGGAAAGTCGCCTACTACGAGAGCTGCTCCTGAGCAGCCCCGGGCACTGCTGCCTCCCCTGCACACACCCACTGCTGCATTCATCCCACTTCCCAGCTGGAGCTCTCCTGTGCCCAGTATCCCTATTTTTAGCAAGTTAATTTTCCATACCTCTGGAAAATAGCTGCACTGAACCGCAGGAGCAGCCCCATGGAGGGGGTTGGACTGGCCAAAGCTGCCCAGTGGTTGGAGGAAAAAGGGGGAGAGACATCCCTGGCAAATAAACACATCCCCAGGTTGTTATTTCCAGAGGGCTTTATAAACCGGGAAATTACTTTTTTCTTCTTTTAGCCAATTCAAGCTCTTTAAGCTGAATTTCACTGTTCAAATTAAAGCCCTCCTGTGGGGTCTTCTAAAGCTTTTTATCTGTGCTGCAGTTAATTCTTCAAACATGCCATGGCTTCAGTACTTCCCTCTGAGACCTTCCTTCAAATAAGCAGATCAGAGAAATGGAGAATTTTATCTCCCTCTGTACAACATACCTATATTTATGCAAATTAGAGAAACACAGGCTCATAGTCAAAGGTGAAGTCAGATGTCTTGTTTGATTTCCTGCCACAATCTGCTTATTTTCCACAGAACATTTTGCCAGAAAAACACCAGTGGGAGCAGGTCTGGGATGCACAGGGAAAGCTTTAGGAGAGACTTAACAGACCATTTCCATGTCAGATTTCGATGAATAACCAAGAGGCCCTGTACAAAACAAATCTCAGCTTTATTAAGCAAGTGTTCATTGTGCAATTACAGCCTTGGAAGGGGAGCTCAGACCTTGCTGTGGTGTTGTCACACACAGGGAGGTTTCTAGCAGGTTCTCTCTCTCCTGCTGCACTGAGGGCTGGGCAGCTGAACTCCAGCGTGCCAAAGCCTGCACTAACCAAGCCCGAGGAGAGGGCTGTAAAAACAAGGGAGCTGCCACGGGGGGAAAGCTCTGCATGGCTTTGGTTTGTGGGGTTGGTGCTGTTCAGGGTGTTTGTGCAGTGACACCTGAGCAGGGAGCAGGAAACAGAAGCTCGCAGCACTGAGGATGCCCTATGGGAATGTACACTGGGTGTGGGAGCAGGAGCCTCAGACCTTCCCTCGCCTCCTCCCAGCTGGAACCATCCAGAAGCACCCCGAGCCGACTGCAGGGATGGATCCTGGCACTGCTGTGCCCCTGGGCCCCGCTGGTCACTGCTCTGCAGAGCTGCTGGCAGGGCAGAGCCTCCCTTCTGCTCGAGTCTGGCTCTGAAGTGCAGAAAAGAGTAAAAGAGCCCTTCTGGTTCTGCAAGAGAGAGAATCCCAGGTGAGACTGGGCTGTGCTCCCCTGCCCTGCTCCCTGCAGACCGTGCTGCTAATGAGCCCCAGCAGGCAGGGACAGCTGGGGTCCCTCTGTGGCTCTGACAAAGGGCTGAGAGCTGGGGTCCCTCTGTGGCTCTGACAAAGGGCTGAGAGCTGGGGTCCCTCTGTGGCTCTGACAAAGGGCTGCCACAGCACTGATTGCTGGAGTGGCCTCTCTGGACTCTGCAGTGGCTCTGCCTCCATTGGTCTCTGCTGTTAATCCGCTGTGCCCCGCAGTCCTGATCAAACAACCCCATCAGCAGAGACTGGCACAGGGCATGAGAGCAGGGAGCTCGCTTGATGTGGCTTTTGAGGAGAGCTGTGCCAGCAGGACACAGCTTTGGGACATTCCTCAGAGCAGCATCTGACAGCAAAGCTTCTCATGCTCGCACACAAGTGATGACAGCACTGAGCCAAGCTGTGGCCAGACAGGATCCAGCTGCATCATTTTACTGTGCTTTACAAAACGAGCATCTCTGGGCTCTGCTCACAAAGACATTCGAGCCTGCCTGGGCCAAACCTGGCAAAGAGAGGAGCTGCCTGTGCTGGGCCCTGGAGCTGCAGCCCTTGTCAGCCCTGTGCTCATGGCCACAGCTGAGGCACGGCTGAACAGCCTAATCCCAGCTGAGGGAAGGTTTGCTCGCTGTTTTCCCATGAATAGCTGGAAATCAGTGTAGAGTTTGGTATGACAAACCCAAGCTTGGCTCCCTCTCTCACCCTGGGCAACCTCGCTGCGATGTAAAAGTTGTGTTCTGAGTCAGGGGCCTGGCCCTGGTGGAAGCTGAGAGCTCTCATGGCTCCAGAGCTGCTGGTGAAAAGCTTTTTCTCTCGCAAAAAGCCTGGGTTTGTTTATTTCATATACAGACACTGTGCTATTTGTGCCTTTCCCTTTTGCCTGCCCTAATTGGATTAATTAAGAGCAGCTGAAGATTGGACTGGAGGGCACTCACCTCTGACCATGTGGCTGCCTCCATCACATGACCAAACAAACTCCAGTTTGCCCAGTGCCACAGTGAGACGAGTGTTTACTGGTTTTCATTGGAACAAGAACCTCTGACTTGAAATGACTGGTTGGGAACAGGTGAAAGGGAGCAGAAAGAAGAGAAATTGCAATTATTTAGGATCATTCTGTAGGGGAATTGTGGTGTCAGCGTACAGAACACCAGCTGTCAGAGCAGGGCTGGGTGCAGTCCCTGCAGCCAGGGCAGGGTCTGCTCTCTCAGCACCAGCAGCTCGAGCCACTGGTAACTCTTGAGGAAAACCAGTGAGCTCCAGTTCATGGGAGCTGTGCCACCCAGCCTGGGCACCCTGCTCACCTGGGACACCCAGCAGAGCCCGGGCTGGGCACAGCTTCCAGCCCAACAAAGCCGGCTCATCCCTCCCCTCCTCCCTCCACCTGGCCACGGCTCCTGTTCCCTTTCCATTTCCTGGAATTTAACGGGAAGGACCTGGATACCTACTGGGATTTTGAAGACTTTTTGAGCAGCACTGTCTCGGAGCAGGAGGACGCCTTCATCTTCTCATGGCCCACGCAGGAGGGGCTGCAGCCACAGGAGCTCCTGCCCGGGGGGCTGGGGGTGTCCGGCAGGGCCAGGCTGCTGTCCCCGGGCAGGGGTCCCTCCTCTGGGGGGCTGGGGGTGTCCGGCAGGGCCAGGCTGCTGTCCCCGGGCAGGGGTCCCTCTTCCAGGGGGCTTGGCAGCTTTTCCTCCCCCATCTCGGTGTCCTGCTGGGGCTGAGGGGGTCTGGGGGGGTTTGGGTGCCCCTGAGAGGGGCCCTGAGCTGTGTCCTTGTCATGGCTTGGCACTGCTGGCGGGGGGGTCCCAGCGGGGCTGCTGGGCCTGGGGGGCTCTGAGGTCTCTGTGGCAGGGACAGAGCCCTCAGCTGCCCCGTGGCCGCTCATGTGCAGCTTCTTCATGTGGTGCACGACGGCCGCGGCGTTGAAGGCTTGCTGGGGAGGGAGACAAAAGCCCCAGTGAGCAGCTGGTGATGGCAGGACACGCTGTCCCCCCCTGCCCCAGGTGGCACCAGTGCTGTCAGCACTGGCTGTTTGGGATGGGCACATTCCTGCCATAAACATCTTTTCCTTCGGGTACAAGCTGCTGATGTTTGGAGCTCACAGCTGCTTCCAGCCAAGGAAAGCAGGGAAGGAAAAGGAAGGAAAAGCTTTTCCCAAGGAACAGCTGGGAATGATCCCCTGCTCTCTGCTCTGCTGGGAGAGCCCTGCAGCTCCCTGATTGTGGTGAATCTCACTTTGGGAACATTGCTGCAGACAGCCTGTAAGCATCGACTGCAGGCAGTTGCAGCTCTGGAGGATCCCAGTTCTGGCTGCTCACCCACCCTGCTCGGTGCTGGCTGACAGCAACTGGTGTTTGTTGGTGGAATGGCTGTGGGCTCCCGGCAGCAGCCACTTACCCTCCATTTGCTCTTCGCAAAGTTTTTCTGGATCTGAGCACTGACAGATGGGTAGATGTCACGGTGAAGGGCTGTATTTCCATTAATCCTGCAGATGGAAGAGAAGGAAATGGGCTGGTAGGCAGATGGCATTTGTAAGGCATTCCACATTCTGGAAGCACTGAGCTGCTTTGTACGTTCAATCAGCAATAATTAAACCCAAAGGAAAAACAGCAACAAAATGTAACACAAACACACACTTCAAAGCCTGGGAAAGCTCAGGGTGGGATTTCTCCTCTGCCTCTGTTTGTGGAGGCAAATATGCACAAATTGCATCTTTAATTATTCATGGTTTGCTTTCTTTGCTCACAAGAAGGAGCCAGCCCGGAGCGCGGGGGCGGCGGTGACGTTAATGATGTAGATGATGTTAATGACGTTAATGACGGCGTGGGGGACACTCCTGCTCCCCCTCCCACGGAGCACAGCGAGCGCACAGAGCGCCACCGGGGCTGCAGGAGCCCGGGGCAGCGCGAGCCTCACCAGGGGTGCCGCAGGGCCTCCTCGCAGGTGAACCTCGCGCTCGGGTTCTTCTCCAGGAGATGCCGGATGAAGTCCTTGGCTGTTTGGGAAAGGGGGAAAAGCAGACAGGGGTCATTGTCTCCTTCTTCCAGAGGTGATCCTAACATGGGGAATGCTGCTGGGTGAACAGCACAGAGGTCAGCCCCAAGAAGGGGTTTGAGTCCCTGCACCAGGGGAGGTTCAGGCTGGATTTTGGGAAGAAGTCCTTCACTCAAAGAGTGGTCAGACATTGGAAGGGGCTGGCCAGGGTGGTGGAGTCACCGTCCCTGGAAGTGCTCAAAAAATGAGAGATGGCACTTGGTGACGTGGCTTGGTGGGATTCAGTCAAAGGCTGGACTTGATCTTGGAGCTCTTTTCCAACCTTAATCATTCTGTGATTGCTCCAGTAAAGGAAGATTCTTAAAGTTACAGGCTCCAGATGAAAAAATATCAACTCTGCATGTACCAAACTTCACTCTTAAATTATGTGAGCTGGAGTTGAATTATTCACCTAAAAAATAACTCTAGAAACCATGAAGTGAAAACTGTGAGCAGATTTAGAAGTTGCCCTGAAGAGCTCTTACATCTCTCCCTGGTTTTTTTCCCCTTTGTTTTTCTTGCAGGAAGGATTGTGATGCTTGTTATTAAACCCCAGCTCACCCCCTGCTAGGTTTGTTTGTTTGTATAAAAGATTGATGTTGAAATAAGCCGTGAGGATGCTGCCTGCAGTGAGCTCCACAAGCAGCTTGGGCTGGCGAAGTGGTGGCTGATGGGACAGAGGAAAAAAATGGGGAAAAACTGCAGAGTTTCCCTTCTTACAGAACCACAGAAGGGTTTGGGTCAGAAGGAGCCTCAAAGCTGACCCAGTGCCATCTCTTCATTACCTGACTCGGAGATGTCGTCCCAAAACGGAGACTCGAACTCGAAGTAGCCTTCCTTAATCTTCTCAAAGAGTTTGGATTCGGTTTCCTCATAGAAAGGAGGGTACCCACAGAGCCTGGAACAGAGCAGGGACAGGGGCCCTTCAGTGCCACACAGAGTGGCACAGGCTCCTCCGCAGCCACGCGAGCCAGGAGTGGCCGCGGTGACAAGGAGCTGCTCTGCCCCCTCCGCTGTCCCTCTCTGCTCAGGGGATCAGCAAAGCTGCACAAAAGAGTTAAAAACTCCACTGCAGCAGCGAGAGGACAAAGCCACAGCTGGTACCGAGCTGAGAAGTGTGGGAGGAAACGAAACAAAAAGTCCCTGGGAAGATGGAAGGGTATTTGTAGGGAACTGGAGAAAAACAAAGCACAGGCTGAGGCAGAGACAGAGCACATGGGATTCCTCTCATCTCCTCTCCTGTGCTCGATTCCCCACATCCCTTTAATTCCTGTGTTTGGGCAGAGCCCGGGGCACTCGGGAGAGGAGCGGGATGCTGCTGCCTGCCGGTACTCACAGGATGTAGGTGATGACCCCGATGGACCAGCAGTCCACGGCTTTGCTGTAGGGCTTCTGGGCCAGCACTTCGGGGGCTGCAGGACAGCAAACCAAAGGGCAGCTCTGAGCAACAGTGAATTATCCAGCACTGGGGGAAGCAGCAGTTTGAGCCAGGAACAGCCCCATTGCCCAGCTGAATTGGGCTGTGGTTTTGGATCTTTTTTATGCCGTTATACAGAAAGAACCACAGACAATCTCTGTCTGTGTGCTGAGGTTTAACCACAGAGCTGCATCCAGCCAGCACAGTCTGGTGGGAATTAAACAAAATCTCATTGCATCAAAATAATTTTTATAATTTTTTCAATAAACATATTGCCCTTTAAATGACCCTTTTTTTTTTATTTTTAAAACATTGATATTTTTCAGTCCCTACACTCATTTATAGGGTCTGTGCAGTGCATCTGTGAGTCCCATGATGTTACCAACATATTGCTGTATTTCCTTCTCTCTTCCAGGCACATCCTGTGCACAACCCTTTCTGCAGGAAATCCACCAGCACAAGCCCACTCCCACCCCGGCTCACCCACATATCCTGGAGTCCCACAGGCCGTGGACATGATCCCGTTCTGCTCCATTTTCGACAGGCCGAAATCCGTGATCATGATTTTGGAGTTCTCCTCGGGGGTGAGGTACAGCAGGTTCTCAGGCTGTGGGCATGGTGAGTTCATGGTGAATTCATGGTGAATTTATGGTGAATTCACAGTGAATTTATGGTGAGTTCGTGGTGAATTCATGGTGAGTTCATGGTGAATTCACGGTGAGTTCATGGTGAGTTCACAGTGAATTCACGGTGAGTTCATGGTGAATTCAAGGTGAATTCATGTTGAGTTCATGGTGAGTTCACGGTGAGTTTATGGTGAGTTCACAGTGAATTCACAGTGAATTTATGGTGAGTTCCTGTTGAATTCACGGTGAGTTCATGGCGAAGGGGAGCAGGGGGAGAGAGGTGGGCAGAGCAGGTGAGGGGCACGGCAGGGCTCACCTTCAGGTCCCGGTGCACGATGCCGTTCTCGTGCAGGTATTTGACGGCTGTCAGCACCTGGTGGATCACCAGGCTGGCGTCCTTCTCCGTGTACACACCCCGCTCCAGGATCCTGTCAAACAGCTCTCCCCCAGACACCCTGGGGAGAGAAGAGCGCTGGGATAAACGTGGACAAAGCTTCTGTGTTAGCTCAGCTGAGCTGCTGCTCCTTTCTCAGCAGTTTTTGGAGGGTGATGGATGCTCCTGGGTGCAATGCCAGGCTGCCAGTGGGGATTGCTGCCAAAGCTGGGCACTTTGGGTGAGCTTGTGAGGCAAGCCCTGCTAGGGCTGGGCTGCAGGGACCCACACAAGTGGCTGGAGGCTTTTGTTCTTTACTAAACCTTCAGTCAAGCAGCAGCAGCCGGGTGCTCAGAGCTGTTCCCTGCTGCTGACACGGTGCCCATTCCATTTCTAGAAACCCTGCGTGGCACAGCTTTAATTAGAAATACTTCTCTCTCTGCCCTGCTCAACTGTGAGGAATTAATTTGCATAAATAGATCCAAATCGTGGTTCAGAGGGTTGCTGTTAAACGGGGATGGGCCAAGGGGCCACAAGGAGTGCCCAGGTCGGTGCTGACATCCCTCACGTGCCCCTGCTCCTGCCCTGGCCCCAAAGGAATGGCTCTGCTGGCACTCACAGCTGCATGACCAGGTAGAAGTGGGTTGTGCTCTCATAAATATCTTCCAAAGTCACGATGTTTTCGTGCTTTATTCTGCAAAGGGAAATGTGGGTCAGAAACAAATCCTGGCAAGGACAAAGGGGGGGAAACCCAGCAGACACCTTGCTTTAATCACCAGGGAGAGTTCACTGGGGGTTCTGGGGCTGCTGTCCCTCCCCCTGCATGGCCGAGGATCACTGATCCTTTTGGAGCACCAGGCACCATCAGTGGGGGCCAGACCCTTTGTTTGAAGTCCCCAGCACATCAGGAATGCTCCTTGCACTCTCACACTCACTTTTTCAGCACTGCTATTTCATTCTCCAGGCTGCTGTCCCTGTTGAGAGGAGACTTCTTGATGCATTTCAGAGCAAAGAGCTTGCCAGTGCTTTTCTGCTTCACCAGGAAAACTTCAGAGAAGGCACCTCTGCAGAGAGGGGGAGAAGCTGCATTTCAGGGGCTGCTGCCTCTGGGAACGGGAGGGGCAGGCAGGGAGGGGAGACAGCACGGAAAACTGTGTGGTGGGAACTTCATGTGGGTGCTGATTCTAAAGCTGGAACCGTACTGGAGCAGCCCCAAAGTCAGGGTGTTCGAGGCAAGGTTATGCAATGTGAATAAAACCCACAATTTCTCTGTGGAGAAAATGTTCATTCTGCACAGTCCAGGAGGGAGCTGCACTTTGGGTTGTGTCACCCAGCATTCTGCAAATCCAAAATGCAAACGAGCAACAGAACCCCAGTTAATCTTTAAATTCAGCCTGTGCTTGTTCTCCTGCCTGCAGAGGCTGTGGCCCTGTGTCCCCTCGGGGACAAAGTGACAGTGAGTGTCACACTGAGTGTCACACTGAGTGTCACAGTGAGTGTCACACTGAGTGTCACACTGAGTGTCTGCTCACCCCCAGCAGCAGCAGCAGGTATTTATAACCTCCCTAAAGCCCCAATCCTGTTACAGCTTTGTCCCGGGAGCTGAGCACGAGGCTGGGGCAGTGACAGTGACCCTGGGCCAGGCCAGTCCTCACTAATCCTCATCAAACCTTAATGATGCAGCTCCTTAATTGGGGGCGTTAAATGGGGCTTGCTGTGAGTCTGCAAAGCCCTGCAGGGAGCTGAGGGCAGGGCAAGGAAGGGCAGTGCTGAGGAGCCTGGGGGAAAGTGATAACAACTTGGAGGTGGTTTTAAGTCCCAGATCTTCATTTCAATTCTTCAGAGAGCTGAAGCGACGCATGTGGGAAAAATCCCAATTTCTAATGCTAAATTTTCTTATTAAAGCAATAGTAGGAAATGAACAACCTACAAATCAGCTGCTGGGGCATCTGTTCTACATCTCTGTCCCAAACAGTTTATAATAATTATGCCCCTTATTAAAAATGATGAATCAACAAGTGGGCTAGGAGAGAACAAAGCTTCTTTTAACCTCGTTCCTTTAGTGAAAGCTGCTGGATAATTCAATTAATCTCTGAGGCTGACAAGGCACAGAATTTGGAGAAGCTGCTTCTTTGGGAGCTTTCTTGTGGGCTCAGAAGTCACAGAAAATTTGTCCATGACAGAACTTGCTGGTGGAGGTAATTCAATTCCTCCCCCACAACCTTGGAAATGTTTTGTTGTCTCATCCCCATGAATAGGCAAATGAAGCTGTTAACGCACAGGGAAGGATTGTACAACTCCAACATCCTTGTTTTTGTTTCATTCCCCGACTGAGTCAGGGTTCCTGAGCTAAATATACAACTTGTTATTGTCATTCTGTGCTGCGCCAGCCCCTGACCTTGCAGCAGCAGGAGTGGGGCAAAAACCCCAAACCCTCCCCTGCCAGAGAGGCTGCCTGGGGGTCAGAGGGGCTGCAGGGAGGGCAGGGGGCACCTGGGGCTGGCTGGGGGGCTGGTGCTGTTTGGGAAGGGAGAGCCAGGAGTGGGAGCAGCAGTGTCCTGGGCACCCCTCACCTGCTCCAGACACCCCTCACCTGCCCCTGGGCACCCCACAGCTGCTCCTGACCTGTCCCAGAGCAGCGGGTCAGGGACACTGACCAGGGCCAGGAAGGTCTGGGGATATTGGCCAGGGCTAGGAGGGCTTGGGGACATTGGGCAGGTCCAGGAGATCCCCAGGACATTGGCCAGGGCCAGGAGGGGCTGGGGACATTGGGACATTGCTCCTCCCCAGGCCAGCGCTGGTACTCACGAGCCCAGGGCCTCCATGAAGATGAAGGTTTTGCGGATGTTGCTGGTCTGCTTCTTCCAGGAGCCGCTGCCGTCCTCCTCCTTGCGCCCCATCTCCTCCAGAGTGGAAGCAGGAACGCTGCCAGGAGGAGGAGGAGGAGGAGAGGTCACTGTCACCATCACTGTCACTCAGGAACGCTGCCAGGAGGAGGAGGAGGAGAGGTCATTGTCACTGTCACTGTGTCACTGTCACTGTCACTGTCACCATCACTGTCACTGTCTGTGCTCGCAGGCAGCCCAGGACTCGCTGCTCACAGCTGGAGCCACAGCTCTGTGTCACTGTCATTGTGTCACTGTCACCATCACTGTCACTGCCTGTGCTCGCAGGCAGCCCAGGACTCCCCGCTCACAGCTGGAGCCACAGCTGCCCAAGGCCTGGGGGCTGTGAAATGCTCCCCAAACCCCTCAGAACTCGTCATGAGATCGGGTCTGGGGATGGGAGTGACACTGGAACCTGAGACAGGAACCTGAGACAAGGGACAAACAGATATAAAAGTGACCCTGGGCAGCAGGGACATCCCTGGAGTGGGGAGCATCCCCTGCCAGGGCAGGAGGGGAGCAAGGGCTGTGGGGCACAGCTGAGCCTTCAGAAGACAAAGCAAAAGCTCTCCTGGATGTTTTTTATCCCTTTGGAAAAGGCAGAAGTATGAAAGCAGAGAAAAAGCTGAAAGGTCTTTTTTCATGAGAGACTGCTTAGATATTGGATTCCTCCTGAACCTACTTTATCTCCTTAATTAGCACGTTTGCAGGGTTTTCAGCTCCTTGACACAATTTTTAAAGGTTAATTTAACATTATTGAAACCAAAATTGACTCAGTTGTAAACAGTTGAAGCCTTCAATCCGTAAAATCACCAAACTCACGAACTTGACCTTTATTTACCTCTTGGTTCTGATGCCTGTGGAACTCACAGAAATGCAGCTCCTTCTAGAGCCCAGCCTTATCTTGCTGTTTGAAACCAGGGAAGGTCAAAAGTCCTTCACAAAAATGCTGATCAATCAGTAGAAAACTTTCTGCCACTTATTTTAAGTTCCTAAATAATGTTTTCTTTGCAGTCATCTGCAAAGAAAACCCAAATCTACAGATCTGGAATAGCACAGAAAAAGAATTTGTTGGCAGAGAAGTTCAGCTGGTGATGGCAGGTGAGTTTTAGCCACTTTAAATAAATACCAGACCTGGCAGGGTGGTGCTGAGTGACAGGGAAAACTGAGAGGAACTCTCCATTCCTGTCCCTGGCTGCTGCCAACCAGAGGACACGAGGTGGGAAAAGAGAATAAAAGCCCCAAGTAGGTCAGCCTGGCCCTGGGGACAGGTGGCATTTTGGGCTCCTGTGCTGCAGCAGGAGCAGCTCGTGGGACAGAGGGAACAGAGAGAGCCTCCTGCCCGGGCAGAGGTGGCTGCCCAGCACTGGGGGACAGGGGGGAGGGACACTCACTGCTGAGAATTTGTCCCCTCCAAGCCCGGGGGTTCATTTGCCCAAGCCTGGCTCATTTCAGCTCCATCCCCGGAGTGTTTTGATGTTTAATTCCTTGTGAATTCAACAAGTTCCCCGTTCTAAAGGGAGTTTTCCTCACTCTCTGTGGACCATGTGCTCCTCTCAGAGCTGCTCCTGCTGTCCCCTGGTGTGTGGCAGTGCTGCTGGGGCAGGCTGAGGAGCAGCCCCCACTCCCTGCCCCTGGGGCTGCTTTCCTGCTTCCTCAGTTTCCCTGTGCCATCAGCACGAGCCATTCCTGCCTCTCCGGAGGAGGGGGAGTAGATGGAGCTGTTCTGGAGCAAAGATGGAATGTCTGAGCTCCTGAGGTGGGAAGCTGCCCATGGCAGGGGGGAAGGGGATGATCTTTGAGGTCCCCAAACCACCCTGTGATCCCAGCAGTGCTCAGGTGATGGACATTCCCCCTGTGCTCCTGCTGGACCACATCCTTCCCCTGGATTTCCCTCTTTGGGTGCCAGGGGAAGGCTTTGCCCAGGGGTGGGTGCAGCACACAGCCCCCCAGCCCAGCAGCTGTGGGGTGGGGAGAATGGGGGTCCCCTGAGTCTCTGGGGGCTCCCCTTGGTGTCTCTCTGCCTGAATCACCTGTTGCACTCGCAGCTGCTCACAGTGCAATGCTTGATGTAGCTGTTGTTTGTCTTTTGTTATTTGTTCTGTGCAAGAATCCCCAAAGCCCAGACTGGTTTGGGTTGAAGGGACCTCAAAGCCCCTCCAGTGCCACCCCAGCCATGGGCAGGGACCCCTCCCACTGTCCCAGGTGCTCCAGCCTGGCCTTGGGCACTGCCAGGGATCCAGGGGCAGCCCTGGCTGCTCTGGGCACCCTGTGTCCTTCCCAGTGCCAGCCCTGGGTTCATGGATGGACTCCCTCAGCTGGAGAAACCTCCTCCAGCAGTGGGACCATGGCAGAGGCTGGGCAAACCCCTCGTGCTGGGATTTCCTGCCCTGCTCTGTGCCCACCTGCACTCCCACCCCTGCCGTGCCCTCCTCCCCTGTCAGCTCCACCCTGACCCCAGCCTGGCATGCACACGGAGGGCACCCATGGGCACCTGCAATTCACATTATTTTCAATAACTATTTAAACAATTCACAGGATTTTAACCCCTGATCCCAGCGAGGGGCTGTGGTGCCCTTGTGCCCGTTCACCTCCGGGCAGTGCCAGCACACCTGTGTGCCAGGGTTGCATAATGAGACTGAAAAGCTCATTAAGTAATGCAGGTGAGACCCTGTGGAGCTGGGAGTGAAAAGCTCATTAAGTAATGCAGGTGAGACCCTGTGGAGCTGGGAGTGAAGTGCATGGCACAGCTCTGATCTGTGGAGCTGCCCCATCCTAACAAGCACAGCCACACGCAGGGCTTCACCTGAGTTTCTGTCCTGGACAGGAGATAATAAACAAGTGTGGTAGCAGTGTCTGACCTCTGGGCTCTCCTGCAGCCTGAGCCAGCCGAGCTCTGCCCTGGCTGATCCTGCACGGCGCTGCTCAGGGTGCAAGGCTTGTTATTATGACCTTGCTTAAATCTTTGCCGAGGAAATCTGCTCTGCTTCCACATCCCACAGCAAGGAATCCTTCTGCAGCCAGCCCCTGGTTCTGAATGGATGCTCTGCATTAGCAGAACGATTGTAAGTCATGATTAATGGTCTCGTGACAAACTTCCATGTGCAGGGGGAGCAGACATGCAGCTTGCAGGGCTTTGCCTTTGCAATTAGAAGTTTATAGGAAAAAAGGGGGATAAAAATTCAAAGGGCTTTGATTAAAAAAAAAAAATACAGCAAAGCAAGCAAATCTGCATGTGAATGAATGAATGGGTGAATGAATGAATGAAGTGCCAGGGCAGCCTCCGTGTTCGGGGACAAAAGACCAAGAAATTGAAGCCACGAGCTCGCCATTAAAAACAAACCCACACCAAAGCTCCTGTATCCCCCCACCACGCCATCCGTTCCAAGGCAGCTTGGGGGACACTTGCAAAATCTCCATTTTCATTGTAAATAGCCCAGACTCCCCACAGCACTTTGGATGGAAAATGTCAGAGACAGCTTTCCATGAAACCGCGGAATGCAACACGAGTGCTGGGGGATACCACGGAGGAGAAGTCCTCTGGTGTTTCCCTGCCACGAGATCAAACCCATTTAAAGCCAAGCAGGTGAGCAGGGCTCCCACCTGCCTCGCTGCAAGAGCAGGAACAGCAAATGGCTCGCAAGGAAAGAAAATTTTGCTTACCCAAGTCAGCACAGACAAAGCAACTCCTGTTGGCTGCTCGCGCTCGGCGCCGAGTCTGCGGGGATTAGAGCTCGGGAGGAGGAGGAGGAGGAGGAGGAGGAGGAGATGGAGCCCAGCTGGTAACCAGGGAGTCACCAGGGGCACGGGGACGATGCAGCAGGGCTGGGAGCCCCGGCGGCAGCGGGCTGAGGGCTGGAGCTGGGCGTGCAGCAGCCGTGCACACCGAGCCTCCCTCCCCATCCCAACAGCTCCTCAGGGCTTGGACACCGCCCCACGGCCTTGGCATGGGCTGGCAGAGCTGGCATCTCTGGGGCACTGCCCTGGGAGGGACAGGCTGTCCCAGCAGAGGATGCTCCTCACTGTCTCTGAGTGCCACAAACCTGGAGAGCAATCACTGGGCAGAGGTTGGCCCCCATGGCTGAATTTGGGACTGTTGTACCCCCCACAATGGCTCTGTTTTGACTTTCAAACCCTCCCTGTGAGTGCCTTCACACAGGAAGAGAGGAAATATGAATAATTCTTTGAATCTTTTCTACGGTGTGGGATTTTTAGAGCTGGCAATAACAACTTTACTGACTGCATTCTCAGTTGATTTACACTGCCATCTAGAATAACGCATGGGAAAAGTCCACATCATTGTGGGGTTTAGTTTTATGTCAGGAATAAATCAGCTCTGAGGCAATACCTGAACACCACCTTCTTTTTCTCAGGGTATTTTCCCTCAGGAGCTTGGTTCCAAGGCGAAGGCTCTTGGGTGTTGCTCCTGTCTTTGCTGGTCGGGCTCCATCTCTGGGATTTCGGGCAGGATTCCTGGAAGTGCCTCTGGATTCCTTTAGTGCAGGGTTTGGGTGGAATTTGCACGGATTTTCCCTTGAAAGCCTTGTAAGGCCTCACCTGTGGAGCGAGGAGTCCACAGGTGCTGCTGGGGCGACACCAGAGCCACAGTGGGGTGGGAGGCTTTTGGGGGGTTTATTGGGTTTATTGGGTTTCCAGAGGGGTAGATTAGGGGAGATTATTGGGATTTATTAGGGGGGTTTATTAGATTTATTAGGGGAGGTTATTGGGGTTTATTAGGGGGGTTTATTAGATTTATTAGAGGGGTAAATTAGGGGAGGTTATTGGGGTTTATTAGGGGCATTTATTTGGCTTATTGGGAGGTTTATTAGGGGAGTTTGGGGGGTTTATTAGAGGGGTTTATTCGGGGTTTTTTTGGGGTGTTTATTAGGGTTTTTTGGGGGTGTTTATTAGGGGTTTTTTGAGGGGGTTATTTGGGTTTTTTGGGAGTGTTTATTAGGGATGGTTTTGTGGGATTTATTGGGGTTTTAGGGGTGTTTATTAGGGGTTTTTTGAGGGGTTTTTGGTGTGTTTATTAGGGGGTTCCCAGCCATCCCGGGGTGGTTTGGAGCAGCTCGAGGCGAGGTGAGGAGCACAAAGAGAAACTCGGCCGTGCCAACCCCAGAGCTGTTTGGGGGAGGTGGCTGTGCCAGCCCAGCCCTGCCTGGCCCCTGCAGACCCCACCGGGCACGAACCCACAGCCCCACAGGGCCCTGAGGAAGAAACATTCCCAGGAACAAGGAAAGGGAGCAGAGCTCCTCATCTGCAGCGCTCCCACACCCCAGAGCTCAGAGCTCAGCCTTCAGAAGCAGCCAGAGACAAACAGCACCAACCTGGAGCGAGGGGAACAGCTCCCGAGGGCTCAGCCGGGCAGGAGCCGGTGGAGATGGGGGCTCTGACCTTCCTGGTGGAAATCTGGGCCAGCAGCAGCGCAGGGACCCGTGCTGAGCTGGAGCTAAAATAGCTGCTGTTACCCAGATCAGCAGGGAAAGCTGCACTGCTGGCTGTGCTGTGAATCAGACTGAGGGGGTGCCAGGGAAACAGCAAATGCTCAGCACAGCCCCTCTGCACGGGGGGAAGGGGCTGCTGTGCCCATCCCTGGGCAGAAGCACCTGGAACACGCCTGGGAGGAAAATAAAGATATCTCCTGAGCAGCATGGAAAAGATGGAGAGGGGATTTTACAGAGGCAGCTGCTGAGAGGACAAGGAGGAGCGGTTTTAAACTGGAAGAGGGAAGATTTGGAGTGGATGCTGGGAGTGAATCCCTCCCTGAGAGGGTGGGCAGCTCTGGCACAGGTGCCCAGAGCAGCTGGGGCTGCCCCTGCATCCCTGGCAGTGCCCAGGCCAGGCTGGGCAGGGCTGGGAGCACCTGGCACAGGGGAAGGTGGAAATGGATGTTCTTTAATATCCCTTCCCCCCAGACCCTCAGTGAGAGGGGAACAGGGCCCTTTGGGCAGGAGCTGTGTGCCCGGGGGTCACGGGGAGGGTTTTGAGCCAGGACACCCCGAATGCACACACACACTCAGCAGGCAGACACGGGGCCAGGGCTGGCATCCCTGGGCTGTCCTGGAGCCCGGCTCAGCTCCTCTCAGCCCTGGCTGTGCCTCACCCGGGCTGCCCGGGTGGCCCCTGGGGACACGGGTCCCTGTGGCAGGGCTGGGGGACGCTGGGCTCGATGCTCCTGAAGGTTTTTCCCAACCCAAAGCGTTGTGTGACTGAGGCCAGGTGGGACAGCCCCGGGAGCATCCCGGGCTGGAGCCAGCAGAGAGCACTGCAGCACAGGCGATGAGCCCCGGCAGCGCCAGAACCCGGCAGGGAGAGCCCTGGAGAAAGGAAAGCTGTGACCACCCCAGTGCTGCCGTCGGGGCTCTGAGCGGCTGCCCAGGGGGAGGTACTGCGGCAGAGCTCCTCGAAATAAAGCACATTTCAAGAACGCGTTCCTGGGAGCATTGTTCGCTTTTCTCTGGTGCCCTAAACTGGGTTCTGTAAGGCAGGGAGGCTCCTTCATCCAGAGCTGGGGAGGGGCTGGAAACTCTGAGTCCACCTTGCCTCCTTTGGAAGGAGCTGCTCTTTTCTCCAGGCTTTATTTTTAAACTTCCGTGGGTAAATTGGTGAATGAGTTACCCAAGGAACTCAGTCTCAGGTTTTGCACGTTCTCCTTAACCTGGGAATTCTGGTCCCGGTGACTGCATGGTAACCACTCATTTAAAAATGGCAAAGAATCATGTCCTTAGCTGCTGATTAACACTACTGTTAATTACCCTGTTCATTTACTGCACGGCTTCATTATCTGTCCCCAAACAATTCCATCCATCTCTTGCGTCTCCATCATTTCCATACAAACCTGCTTTTCTGGGACACCCAAACCACCATCCCCAAACTGACCCCAGCAGCCAGGCCTTGGGCTTTGGGGCCTTGGGGCTTTGGGGTTTTGGGGTTTTGGGGCTTTGGGGCTGCATTTCTCCAACCTGAGCTCTGAGAGCCCCCACAAGCAGAGGTTTGATTGGGCACCCTTGGCCACCCTGTGTGGAATTCCAGCCTCACATTCCCAGCCCACACAGAGCCCTTCCTGTGCTGCCAGTTCATACCCAGAGCTGACTAAGAGGAAGCCAATTAGGAACCTAAAAGGGCCTTTCATTACCCTTTTGAAAAATCCAGTGCTAATTGTGCAGGTCTGAATGGATGTTTGCTCAAGGGGTTAATTATGCATCCCTGAAGAGCAAAACTTCCTTCAGTGCATCTGGGGAGGCTCAGGGAGCCCAGGCTGCTGCAGGCTCTGCTGCCCTGGGGCCTTCATCCCCTCCTCATCTTCATCCCCTGCTCGTCTGCTGGGAGGAGCACCCAGGGGTGCCCACCCTCGCTGGTGTGGGGCTGTGCTGGGCTCTGGTTCGTGTCCTTCCCTCTGGGCTGCTCTGACTGCACCAAGGGCAGCTCCCAGCACCGTCCCCAGCCTTTGGGATTCCCTGGAAGCTTCAGTTGGGTCAGGAGCACAGTGGGAATGGAACCTCAGCCTCCTCCAGAAGCCCCCAGGGAGGTGCCTGCCCTGCCCAGGGCCCCGTGCTCTTGGGGAGAAGTCAATACTTCAACTTCTACAGGCAAAGAAGGCAGCAGGAGCCACGGAATTCTGAACTTCCAGAGCCATTCCCTTGACGCCTTGTGGCTGCACAATGTTCCCTCCTGAGCAGAGGACTGGCCACAGGACAGCTTTTGCAGTGGGGGGACAAGGGAGGGTTCCCTGGGGACCCCGCAGGGCCTGGGCTGGCTCCGTGCTCACCCGCAGCCCCCTCAGCACCTCCTGCCCATGAAAGCTGTAAACCAGCACGAGTTCACTGGGACATGAACATCTCGGTGTTTGTGTGCTCCTCTGCTCGTGCTGCACAAGCCCACCCTCGCTCTTCCCCCCAGGAAAAACCAATTCAAAGAGAAGGAAGAGAAAACCAGACCGTTTTCCCAAGGCCACAGAACGTCTCAGATATCCATTTCAAGGTGTTTATTGCAGCCTTTCATCCCCCTCCCCGACTGCTGGGGCTGAATTCCCTGCCTGGCAACAGATGGGACACCGATTTATTTTTAGCGATTTGTTTGCTTTGATTGAACCCTCAAACACCACCCTAAGCCCATGCCACCTCGGGGGCTGCAAGGTGGGCTGAACTCTGCAGCAGGGAGTTCAGGACAGGAGCTCCTGGGCTGGGAACATCCCAGCTTGGGGTGTTTGCCCTCCCACCCCGACCTGGTCAGGGCCATTAATTTCATTCCACAGGAGGGCCCCTGCAGGAATGCCTCAGCCTGACCCCTCCATCAATCCCACAGAAGTTTGGAAATGCCTCACACAGCCCCAAAACAGGCACGTCACCCCTGTGTGCAGTCCCTGCACAGGATTCCCTCAGCTCTTTGCTCAAATTACCCTTTGAGGCACGGGGAGCTGCCTTAGACCCCTCCTTTTGTGCCTCCCCACAAATGGCTTTTAATAATTAAGTGTAATGGGGGAGCTCTGATTGGATTCCTCACTCAGATGGTTAATTGAGTATTTCTAAATAAGTTACAAAATGTGTTCCTTTGGACTCAGCTCCTTTTGCTCTCTCCAGACTAAAATACACTGTTCTCCAGAGTTCTTTTTTGAGAATTGACTGAAGATAATTATTTCAGATAATTAAGATCACTGAGCAAAGTAATTTAATTTTCTTCCCTGCCTCTCCCTCCCTCCAAGAAATGTAAATGTCTGTGGAAGAGTGGATCAATAAAAGAACCTTTCCAAAGGTTAACTTGGCCAAGGGTGTTGTTGAGCTGGGAGAGACCAGCATGGAGTGAAATCCAGCAGAGATGTTTGGAAAAGTACTGAGATCTCCAATTAAATCATTCCCCCCACCAAGATTTTTTTTCTGAGTTTATTTTTGGTTTTGTGTATTTTGGTTTTGTGTTTGTATTTGGTTTTGTTTGTTTTTTGTTTTTGTTTTTCTTTTAAATCTTCATGTTGGCCAAGGCAGCTGAAGCTCTATGGCCACATGATTTTATTGAAATCTGCTCTGGGCAGACCCAGCAGTGAGGGAGATGATGAGGGAGAGGTGGATTGTGCTCAGATGGGGAATTCACTGCAGCAAACCTTTGGCAAAGC